GTTTGTAGGTGTTCAGAATGGTTTGATCCCTATTCAGCTGAATTCCTGAGACCAGATGAAATCCAGGTCTCCTACTCCTCCGCCATCTTGCTCCGCCCCCCTAAGCGACCGACTCTTAATCTCAGCTCAGGTTTTGATCTCAGGGTCATGAGTTCAAGCCCCGTGTTGGGCTCCACGCTGGGTGTGGAGCCTGCTGAAATGGCTAACTGAACATAATAAAATAATAATAATAATAATAATTTTTTAAAATAATTTTAAAATTTTTTTAAAAATTAAAAGGAGAATAAATATCCTTCAAAAATGAAGGTTAACCAAAGACATTTTCAGATAAAACCAAGTTCAAGGACTCGATTGCCAGCAGATCCATACAACCAAACACCTAAAGCAAGTTCTCAAGAGGTTGGGAAAATGATAATACCTGGTATAAACTCAGATCCTAATGAAGAATAAAACACATCAGAAATGTCAAATAATGGGCAAATGCAAAACACATTTTTTCCTTTTTGACTTTTTCTGCTTAATCTCTTCATCAACGATATACTGTTACAAACAATAATTGTGACACCTTGTGGAAGATGTAAAGTATCTAGATGTAATCCACATGAAAATGATAACAGCACGGGGGGATGGGATGTGCACTGAAAACTTGACAGATTTCTGGATTTCTTGAGAAGTGGTACATTATTAACTCATTGCAGACTGAAAAGTGGAGTATATATTCTAATCCCTAGAACAAGCCCTAGAAGAAATGCAAAGAAATACCGCTAAAATAGTGAAAATAAAATTCTGAAGAGTATCTGACAATAAAATGGAAGCCAGAAATAAGAAAGAGGGAAATAAGAAGTGGAGACAAGCCACACACACAGACAGGAACACAGCCGTGTCAATAATTTCATTAAATGTGCCTCCGGGACATTTATGAGGCTAGAACATATATGGACCACAAAAATGTCTTAATGAGTTTCAAAAGACTGAAATCATGTACAGAGTATTCTTTGATCCCGTGAATTTAAATTAAAAATCTATAAAAATAAGAGGGCCCGAATAGCTTTATTTACTTGCAAATTAAACACCATGTTTCTAAGTAATCACTGGGCCAGGCAGACATTGCGGGGGGGGGGATTAGAAATTTGAACTGAATAATAATGTAACTCGGCATATGAAAATTCGTGAGATGTAGCTAACACCATCCACAGAGGGAAATTTTTAGCTTTGATAGTTTTATTAAAAAGGATGGAAAATCAAACCAAAGATCTATGCTTCCTCCTTAAACTGGAGAAAGAAGAGAGAATTAAAACCCAAGCAAGTGGCAACACAGGATAAAAAAAAGAAAAGAATGTAATTCTATGAAATAGAATAAAGAGTAGAAATGGTAATGTCACTTGATTTAACGCAGTCTGCATGGTGTTGTTCGTTCAGCAACTGATGATTGTGTGAGATGCCCAGACCATCACACTGGCGCCCGGTTACCACCTTCACTCAGAAAGACAGTATTTCTTCTCCCCATTGTGTGCCCACCTCCCCACCAGCAAGCCTGTCCTTCAGAAAATGTACTCTTCCGTTCACAGTAGGTACACGCAAGCCTCCGTGTCTGCAGATGTACCCCGACAACCATACTGATCAGCGTAGGTATTTTACCGACTTCCTAAGGGGCTCTTTGAAATCTTGGTTGGTCATACCGAGGACCACTGTCACCGTCGCTGAGGGTGGGATGTATAGATGCGCATGACCAAGACATGGGCAGCTCCTCCAGGGGTTGCAGGGAAGGTTATGGACTAAGTGGAGACCGTCTTGCAGGATACGGATGTAGGTGTGAGCAAGTGTGTGTATGTGTGTACAGATTTTACCCAAGCTCTAGATAGAGGAGATCAGTGTCCGTTGTGCCAAGTATTGCCTCTGCTTTCTGGTAGCGAGTTTCTTAACTAATCTGCTCTGTGTGTCCACTCTGTGTGTTCTACTCAAGAAAGTTCGAGATTGTCCTAGAGACTTTGGCCGTGTGCCATAGTGCTTTATATGTCAGTGTGTAGAGTAGGAGAAAAGATTCAGAGAGAAGCTTCACGTGAGGTTATGTGGAGAGCCGCTGAATATACTTTTCCAGATTAAAAGGACCCTTTGATGAAACACAGGATCTATTTTTGTCAGCCCCAGTTGATTCCTTTGGTGAAAGTGTCCATCAGAAGCCTACTGAGTTCCTTAATGTCTCATGTTTCCTTTTTATTTCCTCTCTTGTAGATAAAGAATTCATCTACAGAGAACAGAAAGGAAGTGTGATCCTGCGGAATGTTGAAACAAATATTTCTACAGTGTTAATAGAAGGCAAAAAAATTGTAAGTACTCTCTCTAATGACCAGGATAATTTCAGTTTTCCCTCCTGCAAGTCAATAAAGCAGAAAATGACTTTGGGTTTCAACTTTTAGTAGGAGCCGAGCAGAAGCAATAAACTTGTAATACTATAGCCTGAGCAACTAAAGATAATGTGAAATTGAAACCACACTAATTTAATAAGATGAAAGCAGTTTCTTCCAGCGTGTGGGACATTTCTCTGCAGGTGTTGGAAACAAGTGTTGCATGCCATATATAATGGGAAGATAACGTCCTAAGGCTTTAGACATTTACGGAACAATTGCAGTAATGCACAGAGAATACCTCAGGAGGCCTTGCTCAATATTCCCTGTGCCAAGCACAGGGAATATTAATTTAGGCACTGACTGCGCCCGCTCTGATGACATTAAGGGATGTTTATGCTTTAAAACGAGTACTGAGTCGATATGAATGCCACCGCTTTGGAATCTGGAGAAACCTGGTTTCCCAAAGATTTAAGTAACATTAAGATTCAGAGTTCATGTACAGCTGAAGATATTTATTAAAAACCTTCACTGAAGTTCTGCACCAAAAATCAATTTGAAGAGAATTCACTTTTTTCTTTTACAGTATGTTTATGCTCATCATTATAAAGAGTAAACCTCCAGCTTTAGGGAGTGCATTGCTTTCTTATCCAATATACAAGTATTCAGAATCAGAACGATCATTACACACCTCTGATGTGAATCAGAGACACAGGTGCCCTGAAATCCGAGAATCCAGGTATTAGAGGAAAACCACAGGAAAGATTAGTCAGCTCCCTGGTTTTACGGATAAGGATCCGGAGCCCAGAGCTGGGGAGTGACCTTTTCAGGGTCCCACAGCTGGTTGGTGACCCCATCCCCCAGCCCATGGAAATGCTACTCTACCTCCTTCCCCTCTTCAAGAACATTCAACTCCCTAAATATTTTTATTTCATTTATTTTTGGTGTAAACATACTTTTTTCTTTTTTTTAAGATTTTATTTATTTGGGAGAGAGAGAGCACAAGTGGGGGTAGGGTCAGAGGGAGAAGAGACTCCCCGCTGAGCAGGGAGCCCAATGCAGGACTCGATCCTGGGACCCTGGGATCATGACTTGAGCCAAAGGCAGATGCTTAACCAGCCAAGACACCCAGGGGCCCAACATATTTTTTTCTTAAAAAAAAAAATACTTATTGGGGTTTAGTATTAAACGGATCCTCCCTTTACCTAGACTGTTTGCTGGTATAAAGGAGGTCTAGCAAGGTTACATCATGGTGTCATTCCCAAAATGATAGCTTTATCAAATTAAATCATATTCTGCAAAGTGAGACCCAAAAAGGAGGAATGTGCATGCATTTTTGCGTTAAAAAAATCATCTTTGGTAGAATTACTCCCCTAAGAAAATCTCATTCAACCCACTTAAAAATACTAAAATTGCAGAAATGGTTTTGTAATATTAATCGAGTGGAGGAAATGATCAGACTGTTGCTGAGGGTAAGTGCATTTTAATGTCAGCCTGTTATCCCTACCTCTGTGAGGACGTCAGGTTAGTACAAGCCAGGTGCGCGCTGCACGCAGCTGCACTTAGTAACAAAATACAAGAACAGGAACTGTCTTCCCTTTCTCAGATCAATAGCTTGTGACAGATCATGTATTTTAACTGAGGTTATTTTAGCCAAATAATAAGCCGACTTCAGAAACCACCTTAGGTAAGAAAAGGAGAAGAGCTCCTCTGAGAATTGGTGGGCTTATTCCATACAGTGCAATCTTTTTCTCCTTAAGATGTCATTATTCACTCATATCACAAACATTGAAGGAGCACCAAACGTGCAGAGCCCGACTGATATTATTCAGGATCATGCCTAGTTTATTCTTGTCTCAAAGGCTCCATTTAAGTGCTTCTGTAAGCAAACCTTAAAAGAAGGAGAAAGAGGGAAGTCAGTTCGGGGCCGCATCATCATCATCCAGGATGCAGAAATCCCGTGTTTAGGTTCTGCTGAGCCAGTCATTAAAGTTCTTGTGCCTCAGTTGCGCGGCCTAGAACATGGGTCTTCCATGAGAGGCACCATGGACCGTCTTTCTCCTCTGTGTTTTCTTGAGCAAGTATTGAGAAAGTGAAGCATGATGTTGTGAGGGGCGAGTCTGCAGGGTCGTCTGCACCCGGAGGAACTGAGTGGGCGGCTTTGAGTGGGGACATGGAGCCGAGGCTCTTGGGCGTTCTGTTCCCTTGCCTTTCCGATGACTGACCAGGGGCTGCTTCTTATTTGAAACCCAGAAGCATTGAGATTGTTTGCATGATAAAACTGACAGGTTTTTGAGGTTGGTCTGTGAAAGGTCTGAAACTGGTGGGAGAAATCGACGCAGAGTTGTGCGTGCAGGGGTCAGCGGGATTTTGACCTGTTCCCTGCCACCTTGACCTCTAGCCTCTCTCCTTCCTTCTCCCCCACAGACCCTCACACATAGGGTCACGTTAGGGTGTCCACACCCCGTTTGCCTGCCTCTTCCTCCTGGTCCTTGGCTTCCTGTGATGGGTCAGTGGAAGGGGACGCAAAGGAAGGCAACCACTATGTGCACCCAGCAGAAAAGCTTTTAAGAGATTTGGTGATTACGGACTGGTGTTCAGCACGCGGCTGTAACCAACGGGACCTACCCCCGCCCCCCCTGTTGGGACTGCACTTTGTTCCGTAGCGACAGGACCTCAGGCCAGTTGTATAAGCTCTGTGCGCCTCCATGGGGTGTTGTAGGGACTGAGTGACAGGTTATATGTCACATGCTAGAATGTGGGCAAGAGAGCGTTAGGCTGGAGCAGAGAGCCCAGGCGGCTCAGAGCTCAGGCAGGTGAGCGCGTGACTGAGTCAGCGGTAGCAGGGGTGGAATCTGCACCCCCTGATTTTTTTAACTCCTTCTCTGTAGGCGTTCAGGCGAGGCTGCTTCCCAGGCAGGGTCCTCGATGCTACCCACTGGTACTAGGAATTATAGCAAGAGGCACTCTCTCAGATTCTCAAAAACAAGAAATCAAACCTAAACTAACTTTCACTTGAATCACATATTTGATATCCCAGGAATTCCATGACATTACATTTTATTTCCTCTTATTTTAAACCTAATTTAAATGCCAAATGATGTATTTTATTTTTATGCCCCTAGGAGATACTTTTGTCAACAAATCAACAAATTATAAAAAGGTCTTTGTTACGTTATATATTCAATTTTTTCCCTGAGAAATGAAACAACACTGTAAGTATGTCTTTGGGCCCAGACTGGGTTTTTGGATATTTGGACAATGGCTGCCTGGTTCCTGAGAAATCTTATGAATCTGTTCTCTACTGAGGAGAACACTGACTTCTTTTTTCCTTCCTTCTCTTCCTTTGCTATCCATTTATCTGTATATCCTATCATCTATGTATCTATCCATCCATCTATCCATCTGTCCAAACATCTTTCTGTCCATCTGTCTATCTATCTATCCGTCTGTCCACCCATCCATCTTCTATCCATCTGTCCATCCATTCATTGTGTTTGGAAAGCACCTTGGCAATACATTCAAGATTAGTAAAAATATTTATACATTTCTGCTCATTCCAGGGAATTTTTTAATAAGTAAATAATCTAAAAATTGAAAATATCTGAAGCTAGGGAAGTAATTAAATACAAATAGGTGACATATGTAGCCATGAACAGTTATGAACACAATAGTAATATGGAGCTATGTATGATGTTACCTTAAACAAACACAGAAGAATACTATATTATACTTCAGTTAGCAACTGTCAGCATCATCTCTGTGTATTGAGAAGGCCAGGAAGTGCTCACTGCACTGTGCAAAAAGTTCTTCTGGTTGGGTGGGGAAAACTTTGCATATTATTTTTCATGGTAATGATTTCCATAATTGCTGTTTCAAGGCCCCTTATTCAATGATTTTAATCAGATTTTTAAGAATTCAGCATTACGTTCCAGAGATTAGACTTCCTCCAGCAATGAATATGGAAGAGCCACAAACAGGTCTGCAAGTGCTTGGAAGGGCAAACACGTGCGCACAAAAAGCATCCTGTTGCTCTGCTTATGTCAGGTTTTCTTACTTTTTATGTCTTTGCTTGTTTAATTACTAATCTACTTGTTTTAATTACTTACTTAAATTGCTAAATTAACTTTTAAATAAAAAGTCTTCTTGTTTCTTTAATTTATGCTCCCCTTTGATTTTATATAATCACTAGACTGTAGAATTTGAATTTTTATCTGTCTCTAAAAATTAATGAATTCTGACTCCTCACAGAGAGGGACGTAATTACAAGTATTACTAGACCCATTCCAGAATCAAGAGGAATTATGGGTTCCTGGTGCTGCGGAGGAACTCCAGAATTTGTTGGAGAACAGAACTGGAGACCACTTTTTTTTTTTCCTTTTTTCCTTCATCCAGTAGGCTTGACTTTCACAATTATTAGTTTTCACTTCATTCTGTTTCATTTAATTTCCATCAAGGGCTTCATGTGCCTGTGGTCTCATGTTTGGAGGAGGAAGAAGCCCAACTGCCTGAGCTGTTCCTGTCTGTCCTCCGTAGAGCCCTGGGTGCGAGCTCAGGACGCAGGGCTCCCGCAGGTGGGCTCCTGCAGGTGGGAGGGAGCCCCAGCCCCTGGCTAGTGGACCCACCGCCCCCTTCACCTGCCCTTATCCTCCTGCTGTGGGGGACACATGCCCCCAGCAGACCAGCGGCTGGCCCGGAGCAGGCTTGCATGGCCAGCAGGCATTGCCAACCCGAGGCTGGTTGCACTTAGCACCTAAGTACAAAGCGGGAAGGGGAAATGGCCTTCTTTCTGTGTGTAGTTGAGAAGGCAAAAACTGATGCCCCGAAAGCCCACCGAACTGTTTTGTTTGACCCACAGAGTGGTTTCTACAAACTGGAAATCCAGGGCTCTGGCTTCTCTTGAAAAATAACAGTATCTGGCCACAGCGGGCTTCATGTTCTCGCAGACAGCAGATGTTGGCTGGGGGAATGGGGTAGCAGCT